GCCAGGCGCGCGCCGCTGCGGCAGCCAGGGGGGGAGCCTCCTCGAGACGTGAGGGCAGCCATTGTCACGACCGCCTCCCCCAGGCGCCGACCGCCCACGCGCTGTAGCCCCCCGCCCTACACTAGCCGCTTAGGGGCCCAGCTGGTTAAGACCCTCCGCTCTCTCCGGGCTCCCTGGGAGGCAGCGCGCAGGACTCCCTCAGGCATTCCCGCCTCCGCTAGGCCAGCTGCAACCTCTCCCGCAGCCCTCGGCCAAGCGCATCCTTCACATCCAGGGCAGAAATGAGTGACACGAGGCCGAAGCGTGGCGACCCGTCTTTATTTTATTAGGAAGGAAACCCACCGAGCATCCCGGCTCCTGCCCAGCGTTCCTGGCAGAAACCTGCCAGGAACCCAGTGAGCACACTCAGCCCACCTCCGTGGACGGTCCCTTCCTTCTCAAGCCACAGAAATAAACCCCAGTGTACTGCTTATTGTTAGCACATCATCACCGAAAAACAATACCAGCATAGCGCGACAGACAGTTATATAGTACTTCCACCCCACCCCCGAACTCAGGGGACCTCCAGCTCCTGGTTGCTGCTGCAGGAAGCCCCATAAAGCCTAGGGAAGGCGCATTGGCCACACAAAAGCACTATGAACAGCAAGGGGTGAAGGTGGAGAGATGAAAATAAATAAGGAGAAAGGGGAAGGAGGAGGGGGCCCTAGAGTTCATATCTCCTCCCTTCATAATCACTGTGCCTGGGAAATTTGTCTACTATCTATGCAGAATATGTACACCTTATTGGTAGAGATAGGGGGTGGGCAGCCTCAGGGGAAGTCCCTCACAGGTTGAACAGGAAGCAAGACAGACTGAGGGGAACTGGGGGTTCATGCTATGGAAGTCAGGAAGCCCTTCGGTCCAGCATGCCTCGAGGTGAGAAAGCCACAACTGGACACCATCGCACCCTCAATCCTCCATGGGCACAGGGTCACACGATTTGGGTCAAAGTGATGGTGGGGCCCTTGTGGTCATCAAAGCGGTCCATGGTCTTGAGGCTCAGGATCATGTGCAGGCCATAGGTGAAGATGAAAAGCATGAACAGGGAGGTGAGCAGCCCCATCCAGATGCCCGGGGAGAAGAAGCCAGCACAGTCGCTGGCGTAGGAGAACTGCTCACCCGTCACGTTGAAGGCCTGGATCTGGGGGACAGAAAGGACCGCGTGGCCCCACAAAGAAGGAGGCCCAGTAAGGGCTGGAGTTCCCGGGTTAGTGGGGAGTCCAGATCTCCTGGGATGGGAGCACTGTGGGAAGGGTCTCTGGACCACATTCCTGAGCCCAATTAATGCTGAGACTTCGAGCCTCTGTTCCCTCCCCTCTCTACCGGGACCATGCTACCTCTGGCCTGGGCTCGTCCCTGCTCCCTACCTGGAAGTCCTGAAGAGTCATCTGCCAGAGAGAGGGCTGCGTGTCAGGCACAAGGATATTGCCATTGTCACCATTAGTGCTGACGTACTGGCAGTGGAAGGAGTAGATGCTGGGCCCCGTGATCTGGGAGGCATTGAAGTAGACTACGGAGCCATTGCCGTGGATTTCAAGGCGGTCCATGGTAAACCAGTGCCGGGCCGACACTGGGTAAAAGCGGTTCGCCAGAATGAATCTGAGGGAGGCCAGAGGGTGTCAGGCAGCTGAGAAAAGCCAGAGCCCGGCCAGTCAGCCCACACCTCAACCGCCCCTCAGACTCACTTGAATGTCACCGTGGTACCAAACAGTTGTTCATAGGTCAGTGCAAGCCTGCAGGGCAGAAGAAAGAGGCAAGTTGTCAGGTTCTGGAAGGGCCTTGAGCATCTTGGGCCAAGTTGCTCGAGTTCGCTCCGACCTAAGCCGCCCAGGTCCTCGCAGCCACCTGAAGAGGCAGTGTCTCATTTGACAAGCTGGGAAAACTGAGACCTTGTCACATTCTAGGTCAGGAACCAGCACTCAGGTGTACCACCTTCAGCTGAAGCCTCCTTCCTCTGGCTCCCCTCAACCTGCTGCACCTCCTCCTCTCAGCTCCCACTCGGGGTCGCTGAGGTGCCCAGCTGGGCTTTAGGGGTGAGAGCGGTCTCTCACGGGGAGGGTACGGGAGCCCAAGAACTGACTCCAGTCTGGTATGCGCCCCCGTGCAATCGCCTTGAAGTTGCTCAAGGTGGAGGTGTCAGGTTCCCAGGTGACTGGGAAGTATGCACCACCAAGGTCCCAGCCAAGGACTAGAGGGCATGGGGAAGCAGAACTCTGAGCAACCTCTACTCCAAGAGCCTTCCATCGGCCTCACCCCATGACACCACCAGCACCCCGTAGTGCACACCCCCCAACACATACGCCCACCCTCAGTGGCAGGTACTTTGCCCTTACACGGCAAGGGAGTCATTCCAGGAGGAGCCAGTCAGGCTGAACCTCTGGAGGTTAAAGGTGATGAGGGTCAGGTCCTCCCAGCGTCCCCCGTATGCCACCGAGAAGTTCTGGGCCCAGAACAGGATCCGGGGAGCAGTGTCATTGTAACTCACAGGGGGGTGGATCACAACTGATGCGGGCTGTTTTTGCAGCAGCTGGCGACCTAGCCCCCCAGCCACCATGGCTACATCGCGGGTCACCTGCAGAAACAACCCACAAGCCTTCTCTCAACAGCCCTGGGGACAGGCTCCAAACCACGTGGCCTGCCCTCAATGTCGCCCCAGGCACCCTCTCCACCATCTGTAGTCCCACTGGTCATACTCAGAGGCCCTTCTTCCAGGAAGCTTTCCCAGGGTGGCCCCTAAGGGATGTTCCTAGTCCCTCCGATTTAGGATCACTTGGACTTACTGTCCAAGTATGCCAGCCCGTAAGGCTGCTAGGGCAAGGTGGCAAGCTGCGCCTGGAAGGACTAAGCAGAACTTTACGATTCATATTCATTCCCCGACATCGGCCCAGGAGAGAAGCCAGCTCCCACCGAGGCGCTTCGCTAGAAGCCACCCCCCCTCCAGGCCACTCAGCATGCGGCCTCTGCCCACACCCCAGAGCCCCTGCGGAGGGGCACGTACCCTGGAAGGGCGGACCGCCGTGAGGGCCGCTGTGTACGGGACGTCTTCAGACTTGAGTGTGCTCAGCACCTGCCCAATGACCTCATCTGAGGGGCAGTGGGGAGAGCAGAGAACCAGGTCACAGGCAGCTGCTTATAGCAATGCTCCCCACCGCCTGTGAGAAACCATCTGACCTTCACACAGCAGCCGACAGAGGCAAGAACGTGCCCTTCCACGTCCCACATTAGTGCCCTCTCTTGACGGCGCTCAGTGAGATCACCTCACAGAAGTGGGAACCACCAGATGTCTGCACTGTGAGGTGCCCCCACCCCCAACAACTGGCATGTCCTCTGTGGTGGGACACTGAGATCCTCAAAGAGCCAGCGCCCATCAACCTTCACTAGTGTTTTCGATTCCCGTTGAGGATCCCCCACAGCAGCTGCTGCTCATCCTGCCCAGCCCCAGCCTCCCCTGCGACACCTGTGGCCTCAGTCACCGACTCCCTAATGCCAAGCCCTAACTAAGGGGAATGAGACAGAGATGTAAGAAACTCCAAAGCCATCCACAGAGGGTTCCCGCTGACCTTTCCACGGGGAATGACTAGCCTTTCCAACAAAAAGACAAGTTTTCGGAACTGCTTTTTGAAATATTGCTGGTCTATTAAACCCAAAACTACAGGATTCACGCTGCCTGAGCGGAAACTGGCTCCATAGGCTCCCGCACAGAGGACCCCTAGATGCCCCGAAACCTCTGCCAGGCAGGGCCCAGCTGAAGAGGGCGAGGCCTGCGGGCCAGCATTTCCCTGCTCAGCTGCCAGTTGCTCTGAGAAGCAGGGGGCCGCCCTGGGAGTGGAAAGGGGCTGAGGAGCTGTGGGCCAGCTCTGAGGCTGAGGGCGGGACGAGGATGAAAAACGTGCACCCTGCCCGATCCCACTCACCGTTGCCTGTGAGGACTTCCCTTGGCGCCATCAGGCTCGAGCTATGGAAGAACAAAAGCGTCAGAGCCAGAGCCCCCATGATCCGAACAGCTCCCTGCCATCCTGGGCCGCACCTCCTCTAGCGTGTCCTCTGCTCCATGCCACTGTCCTTCCCCACTAGTCCCATTCAGCTCACTGCTGTCTCCACACCTTCGCTCAGATCACAGCCCTACCTAGAAGCCTTTGCCCCTCCCTCCCGCTTCACAGTCCTGCTCCCGTCCCGGCCACCGGCTGCATGAATGGGTCCTGGCTAGGTGACTTGGTTCCCCACCACCAGAGCCCATGTCCGCCTTGTCTCTGGAGGCCCAACAGGCCTAGTATGGAGTGCTGACTCCCGAGTCACAGCGCAGCTGGAGACCCTTCCCACCTCTCTGGCCAAACAGTGCACCTTCTGGAAGGGCTTCAAAGTTCTGAGTGGGAGGACTGTCATCTCTGAGTTATGCTATCAGAGCCCAGAGCCTTGTGGCTGGAGGCTGGGCCATACCTGGCTGTGTAGGGCAGGCGGATGAGCAGCAGAGCCGGGAGGCTGGCATTGAGCTTCAGCTCTCGCAGGGTGGCCAGGTCCACGTGCAAGGGGCTGGCCCCAAGCTTCTCCTGCAGGTAAGTGGTCAGAGTGCTGACTGCGTACCAGTCGACGGCGGGAAGCACCAGAGAGGAGGGGGCCAGGTCCAGGGCATTCTGGGGATGGAAGAGAGGTGGGGGATGAGTTAGCAAAAGTCCAGTGGACTTGGACCAGCCCCCCAAACCTGGCAACCCTCCTCTGACAAGCTACACCCACACCCACACCCACACAGGGGTCTCATTCCAGGTCAGAAAGCAAATGCCCCATGCTCTTGGCCCCATACACTCAGGCCTTTCTACCCGCCAAATCGGCATCTCTGGTTCCTAAGGGGACGGTTCTCATTGTGCTGGCGGAGGGGTGCAGGACAGCCCCCATGGCCCACAGCTGGGAGAGGATGCTTACCTCCAGGTTAGAAAAGGCGCTGTCCTGCTTGTTTCCAAACACACCCCCGTATGCCGTGAAGTCTTCGATGCTCAGCTAGTGGGGAAGCAGGGAAGACGCCTCAGAAGGCTGGGCCAGATGAGGGCAGGGGACAGACACCTTCCCTGTGCATATTACGCAGGGCCAGCAAAATCTCATTTAGAGTCAGATTTGGTCTGGTCCAAAGAGCGAGCAAGGGTGAGCGTGGGGGTGGGGTTTGGGGTGGGGATGGAAGGTTCTTTCTGGTGTTTCGCACCCTCCCGGCAGGGTGAGGATGAGAAAATACGGAAGGCGGTCATGGGGTTCGGAGGAAATCTGCGCGCGGCTGATTTGTGGTAACCTCGGGAGTAAGAGTCAGCTGCCCGCCTGCAGACAAGAGGAACTGGGTAGGGAAGAAGGAAGCTGGGGGAGGGGACAGGGGGCAGTTAGGAGCACTGACTGCATGCTCCCTGCCCAAAGGAAGTCACAGAAAAGGAGAACCTGCATGACAGTTGCAACAGCTAGAGCCATCTATGCCCAGTGTGGACGGGCCCTTTTTGAAAGGAGAGTAAGAAGTTCCCCTCCCCGCCTGGTTCCGGTGGAAGGAGAGAGAGAGGTGGAGATCTTGGGATGTACTGGAGAAAGCGCTGAAGTCTCCTGAGCTCTCACGACCACAGTAACCCTGATGCCCACTCCTTTTCGTCTGCGACCTAGAGATGTCCTTCGACTCCTGCCCTCCACCCCAACTCCCAGCTTCCTCTGGCTTTTCCCAGTTAAGCCCAGAGGTGACCTTAATCAGCTTCCCTAACCTCATTCTGTTTAGTATACACACTTGCCCAACGTCCTCTCCCTTCTTGGCAAGAATCCCCACCCTGTTTGGCCGCCTGGGCTCTCCTTCTGAAAGTCCCAGAACCACCTCTATCTCCCTGCTTGAAATAACCCAAGGCTTTATGCCACACTTAGAACTGCAACCAACCTTTCCCTCCCCACCTCCTGGCTACTGGCTGACCACCTCCGACCCCTTTCACTCACTACACTCCAGCAACACCAGCTCTTCCATGGGATCACTAAGAGCACTTCCTGCCCAGGGCCTTTGCACCTGCTGTTCCCTCTGCCAGGAACACCCTTCCCCCCATAGCCACATGGCTCTATCCCTCCCTCCATTTACGTCTCTACTCAGATATCACCTGCTCAGTGAGCCCTTGCCTGATCACCCTTATCTTTAATAGGGTTGCCAGCCACTCTGTCCCCTTAGCCTGCTTCTTTCTTGTCTAAACACGATAGCGCTAACATCGTATCATATATGAACTTAGCTTTTCCTTGTCACTCTCATGAGAAAGCTTCCTCAGGGTAGGGCCATGGATTATTCTGCTCACGGCTATGTCCCCAACATTTAATAACTGGCGCATAGTAGGCAGTCCAAATTTGGTAAATAGGTGAATGCCATAAGACAGGGGAACCCCAGCTAGATGTTTTACATGGATTTTAAGAATTGCTCCTCCCAGCCCTCTAACGTAGGTTACAGTATCTTTATTTCACAGATACAGAAACTGGCATTCGTAGATTACTTCACGCATCCAAAGGCTGGTTAAGTAGTAGAACTAGAATTGAATTCCAGTCTGACTACATTATTTACCACCTCCTGGAAGGACTACAGGCCAGCACGACCGACCGCCACAACCTGCCCACAGAGTGACGGGGCAGGACTACAATGGGAATGAGACATACAAGCCACCAATGAGGAGGGGACAAGCAGAGGCTCGCTAACTTCCCAAACACCAATCCTACACTGCCCTAGAATCTTCTCATGGTCTACATGTCTGGTTTGGGGGCAGAGGAACCTGAATGGGGAGGGAAAACAGTGTGCCGGTTATAAGCACGAACTGGGGGGGGGGGTCCAACAGACTCAGGCTGGAACCAACTGTAGTATGCATAAACCAGCCAATCGTTGCACCTCTACAAGCCTTAGTTTCCTCCGCCGTAAAACGAAGATGATATCAGCTTAGCACGGTATATATGAAGCACTCAATAAGTGGTCGGTTTTTGATTACCTCTATTATGGTCATTACAAGTTAGAATCACAACTCTGCCACCCATTAGCTGTGTGACCTTGGGCAAGTCACTTCCGCTCCTTGGGCATCAGTCTTCTCATCTGTACACAGGGTCGGTAATCCTTACCACGTAGAGTAGGTCAGATAAGTGCTCAGTACCCAGTAGGCATCCAGCCTCTGACCCCTTGCTTCCCCTAATCAAGTTGATGCCATTTCCAGGTCTTCACCATTCCCACTGAACACTCTCCTCCAGGCCTTCCCAAGAGAGGAGCCACACCTCCCAGCAGTTGAGAGAAGGTCACTGAAGCTTCCCTTGGGGAACGGGCCTCAGTGTTCTGGGGAAGGGGGCCTGCCTGCCTCCTGATGACCGAGGGAGAGGGCTGGGGCAGGCGCACCTTGTCCTGCAGGAACAACAGCACATTGCGGGGGCCCAGCTCCAGGGCGGGGTCTAAGTAAGTAGAGAGCTGCATGTCGCTGGTGATGTGGCCCTCGTGGGTGTCGACCGCAGGAGCCCACAAGTCCCTGCCAGGGGACAGAAGAGGTGCTGTCAAGCGGAGGCGCATGGTTTGAAATCCGAAGCCCATGGGCTCCCAGCTTGATGCGTGGGGCCTGGAGCTCTGACCTGGCCGACTCGCTACGGGCCGCCGAGCAAGAGACGGTCTCCTCCGGGCCGTGCCGCTCCTCGCCGAAGACAGCCCTGGACTCGGGCGACCGCACCTCGGCCGCCGCAGCGCAGTGCAGCCC